CAATATTGGTCTTTAGAAAAATTTTAAAAATCTACCGAAAAGCAAGTTTTGTGAAAATTAACTTTTCCAGACTGTTTTCACCCAATATTAAAAAATTCACTATGCACTCAAAGAACATCAGAACATGTTCAAAATTTCGCAATGTAGAGTATTTAGGGTGTGCTATATCCTATTTATAGGAGATCTCGAGAGAAATTTTAAAAATCCCGAGGTTCTCCGAGAAGGTTTCCGGAAAAACCTATTAACAAAAATTTACGTTTTCGATTTTTTCAAACTTATAGTCACGTTTATTGAACAACAATAATCATATCCTGAGGTTTTGAACTTGTTCTGATGTTTTTTCAGTGAATAGTGAATTTTTTAATATTGGGTGAAAACAGTCTGGAAAAGTTAATTTTCACAAAACTTGCTTTTCGGTAGATTTTTAAAATTTTTCTAAAGACCAATATTGCCACGAGACTTAGCATGGCCGATTAACTGTAGTTCATCGGTCCTCAAGGCTACCAGTATTCGTCGGGTGTCAGTCTTGGGACTCGTTGGAAATCCGATACAGTGCCCGAGCCGCGGAAAAGCAAGGTCTCACTTGACTCCCATTTTGAAGAGAACATCTCGCGCTATCAGTCTATGAGAAAAAAACACTACAATTCTATTGGAGAATATTGACATACGATCTAGTTTTCCAAAGATCTCTAATTATGGAAACGGAAGCTGTTATTTATTAACCTTTTGCCCATTTAATTTACTTTCTCCCAGTCACACTGATCTGGTAATAAATTAAGCAGATCGCTTATCCAGGAAAATCTTATACATAAACCTGTTATACAAAAACATCCTGACAGCTCCACGGTACTGGAGTCGGTCCTGCATCGTTGTGATATACGAGCTACACTTAAATTAGATTATAATAACATGTGTATTTATGTATCGCATTTCGATGGACTAATAACGTCATTCCAACCGAAGAAGAATAAAAAACGTTATACGTGTGTATCAACTGCTCACAATTATTTGGATCCGTCCGCTTCAGCATTACCACACACAAAAATTAAAGATCCTACGAAAATTAAAGCGAGTAAGGGTGGACTTCGTAGAATTGATTTACGCCTTGCACTATTAATTCATGCGGATTATCCCGAAGTACACAGTTCCTATGGCGAGTGGATTTATAGAGAGTGTGCTAAACGATGGAAAGGACTGATACCATCCATTGATGGATCTAGTGAAAGTGAGAAGGATGATGAGTACCGACCGGAGCCGGATTTGCCGATATTAAGGCGAGACGAAGAAGACGAAGACGTTGATCGTAGTCGATATAAAGAGCAGAAAACTGCTCTGGTAACATTTCTACAATTATCTGGCAATCATAGAGAAATTTGGTCTACACTGAACTATAATAATTTAACTAAAAAGTCGAAAAATACATTTCTGTCTACCGCTCGATCTGTTATTAAAACCGTACTTTTGTTCCTTGCTCCTAATGATATTACTGATGTGAAACGTGATCTATTCGATACAAAGAACGATTCGAAATCCTGTTTGATAGATGGGAAATTCCTGGCAGTAATGGATGGTATAAGCGAGGCATATGAAAACTCAGAGAAGTGGACCACGCGCAAAGAGATTTTATCAATTGTCGCACCGAAAATAAGCTGTAAACTTATACAATCATTTTTACCTGGATTAACTCTATATCGTTTCACAGCAGCAAGACCTCATGCTTTAGAATACGGAACTGGACGTCAGGTTGAACGTGCTCAATCCACTTTGGCAAGATTTAGTGATTTTCAGGTGGAGCATTTTATAGACTTTATCCTATCATCACATATTTGTACTGATCTGCCTTTTGGTGAACAGCGTCTACGTCTTTCGACTGATGTTGAACTTTACGTTCCAAATACAATCAGGAATATGATACCTTCGAGAATTGTTGATCAATATTTTGAGTACATTGCTGAAGATAATCCGGGTTTTCCTCCACTTGGTCGCACGAGTCTTTTATCGTTACTGAATTCGTGTAAAGCGTCCACAAGACACAGTTTACAAGGAGTGAACTATTTTGCAGCTAACGCTAGTCTGGCATTTGATAATCTTATTGATATGGTGAATGATCTATCATTGGATAGTGGTTCAAAAAAAATACTCGTTGATGATGTAAAACGCGGACGAATGTATATGAAGACTGATTATAAAGTTCATGTGCAAAAGTCGTCAACTATAGCTGATCATTGCATTAACTATGCACTCTGACAATCAAATGACACTGATTATGCCAAGAAGTGTGACCATCGACATGATGACGTGTGTGTAGAATGTAATAATTCGGCTGTCACTTTGGAAAAATTACGTACTATGATAAAGAGTTCAGTAACTGACAACGAATTATTAGATCGTGAATTGGCTAAACTTAAAATGAGTACGGATGCTATTGAGGCATGGAAATGTCATCAGCTACGAGCTGTGAATCAGGATCTGTCAAGACAAGAACTGCTGCAGGATCTGCCTGCCAATTCAGTTTATATTCTAACAGATTGGGCGATGAAATGGCTTCCGGAAAAATACATGGAGCCACAGGAAGATTTTTTCCCCAAGCGAGGTTTATCATGGCATATTGGTGTGGTGGTGAAGAAAGTAACTAGTACTACTACAAAAAGCACACAGCCAAAGAATACTACGGGTAATGATGAACTGTCCCGAAGAGGGATGTGTAGCTTCGTTTATCAGATACGGAAATTTAACTCAACATTTATGTACAGGGAAACACCGACGTCAAATAGAACGTAGTTCCATGAGAGACATGGGTATGACTATGTATCACTCGAAACTAGAAAAGATCAATAATTTCTCTTCAATTGGAAGAGACTACACTGCTGATGATGATGATACAATTCGTATTACACCAGACAGAGGATGGGCTTTGCCAAAAGAACGAAAACTGACGCGTCTGAATGAATCTCAGATAAAATATCTCACTGAGAAGTTCGATGAGGATGTAGAAAGAAAATCGAACGAAACAAAACTAGATCAAAAGAAAGAAACATACAAGAGTCATTTATGATATATTTTAGTTGAAGTATAATTATTTTTATGCGCTCCCTTACATGCTACATAAAAAAAAATCCTTTTCTAAACCCTTTTTGCGTCTCACGTGAACATTAATTCAACTTTCTCAGCGTCTTTTATCTTTGGTTCGATTGTGTCCGAGTATATATCTCATTCACAGAGACATGATTATTTTTTGGTCAAGACTTTAATAAAACATCTATCCAGTATAACGAAATAAAATAGCAATAATTAAGGAAATTTCTATTTATACTACACAGAAGTCTGACAATAGCTTTTCTTCGAAAAAGGGATCTTTGTCTTTTGAGATAGAGAGTGGTGAATTCATAGGTAATTTACGCGATGGACTTTCCCGGGAGACCATTAACACCATTTCGGATATGTCATCCGATTTTTTTGGGTATGCATTCTGACAAGAAAGCATTAAATAAATTAAATAAAAAGAAGTAAAAGTCAATAAAGGAACAATCAGTTTGCAAGACGAAT